TGTATTAGCATCTTTTACGTGTCCAGATTGTCCTTGAAAAATATGCAAAATGTTCATTTTTGTAGTACGTTTCCAAAGATTAGATACAATACACCAGCTCTGACTATTTTTGTCTTTGAGATTCGTAGTCAAATTGGAAGTATGCGGTTCTGATTCTTTCACAATGTTTTCGTTTTCTCGCTCTTCAACTGGTTGAAACCACACTTCTTAATTATCTTTTTCGTTTTGATGAGGCTAAGTTATTATTTGCTATATTGAATGGTCTTATTGAATGTCGGTTTCCACAGAAGAAATCTCATATTGAACTTTACATGAAATGCTAGGCATAGAAACAGGAGTACATTGGTTATTATGCTTTATTTTTTTCGTTTTAGGAATGTCATACTAAAAATCTATGCTTTCATCACCAGAAAATTCTAGCTTGTACTCCGATTCAGAAGGGCTGAAACAATTTTGCACTCTGTCTTTACTTTTTAAATTACTAGGGTCTTTTATGATCAAAATTTCTAGCCATTTTTTAATTAAGTTGTCTGTGAATGAGAATAAAAAATAATAACACCAAGATAAAAACTTACGTTATCACTAACCTTTCGTAAAAAATACGAAGAAATTGCGATTTTCCGGTTAACAGCTGCACAAAAAAGGCAACTACACACTACATTGTGAATGTACTCAACAAACTGTTCACCGAAGCTACTCCAATACCTACGCTTATACAATTCATGCATGGTTGGCAAATCTTAAAAAAATCATCAGCGTTCGTAAATTTTATGAATGGTTAGTGTTCTAGGATTAAAATAATAAAAAATACGTCTTAAGATGTTTTACTTTTTTTTGGTATAAAAACCGCGTATCACTATGAAAATAAAAAAAGATTGTTTGTCATAAATTAACTCAAGTTAGAAAACTCTCGTACGAAACTTCGGATGTAAAAAGTATACTTCGAATAACGACATATGGTTGTCAGTTAGTGATCTATTTACATCGGAATTTTGCCGTATAATTTATTACTTTTAAGTATGCTATGTTCAATATAAATCTAACCACTGTTACGGTTAGTTACGCAAGTACTTCAAAAGTTCACTGAAGATGGACTGATAACTCCGAAAACATTCTAAGCTTTATTAGAATCCATTTGGATTTTTAATTAAATATACCACTTCCAACAGAACTTTTTTACTACAATGTTTGAGTTTTCTAATTATTTTTATATTTAATTTTTTTTATTACTTGCTTAAATAATTTTTATACCAACAATTTTTAATTTTATTACTCTTTATTGCGCTTCTGTAATTTTATTACATTTTAGCACCACTTTTAAGTAACTAAATACCAATTAAAGGTCTAAACATCTGGTCGATGTCCGATAACGGTTAACGCTCAATAAGTATTGGTTCAATGATCAGTCGTATCGTCACAAAATCGTATTTTTATCACTAAATATAGTAAAGATCCAAGTGACAAGAGATCTGGATTACTGACCTGGATTATTTACCTGATGCAGATCGGCTAATCCGGTTTTTTAAAAAGATTCGCATAGAAACCTAGCTTGAAATAGCTAGCTAGACTGAAGATAGATAAAGGGTATATAATGCTTTAATATAAGTAAATATAATTTTCCTTACTTCTTTTTCAAGCCTTTCTATATTTTATTGCATACTCTCTTATTTTGTCTTGATCAATTCTATTGATGCAGTAATGGTAATTTAGTTTCGACTTGAAATACATACGTTTAAATTATTAACAATTTAACCAACATTAACTCTCCTGTGTGAAAAATTTTATATGAGAGCATATACTATTGTTGGCTAGTAGGAAAAGGGTAGAACTTAAAGTAGAACCTTGTGGTACACCATTTTTAGTGACAGTTGTCGGATAATACTCCGTTAACTGTGATTCTGAAATTTCTATTATTTAAATTTATAAAGCATTTTATGTTGCCCGCAAGATTATTTTCTACCAGTTTTTTAGGGATAACCGACTTACATGTTGTATCGAAACCACTTTCTATATTAAAAATTATTTCGTTTACGTCTTTTTTGGAGGCTATAGCATTTGCTATATCTGTTTGCAGGATCACCAAATTATCAATGGTACTTCGATTGGGTCTAAAACCTGATTGAGCAGGTTTAAGGATATGGTTTTTTTCTAGATACCAGATTAATCGCTTGTTGATCATTGTTTTCAATAATTTGCAAAGCGTACATGTTAAAAAGATTGGCCTAAGCGAGTTTGGAGAGTTAGGAAGGGAGGTGCTTTTTTTATAGGAAATATAATGGATTTACTCCATTTGAATGTCCATTTTGTCGGGACTAGATTAGGTTGTACAATTGAAGCAATTAATTTATAGTTTCTTTATGGAGATATTTGAGGTAAATTGGGGGGATGTCATCAGGACCAGCAGCTGAGTTGTCTGTAGTGGATGGGGCTAGAGTTAATTCTTGTTTGGAAAAGAGTAAGTTTATTGCGTTAGAAGTTTTACCCTCTTTCTACTAGCCATCGATGATATTTGCTTTCATATAAAATCTCCCGTTAAATTTGTCCTATATGCAGATGACCTTATTGTATACTACCAAGGAAAATCCACAGCTGCAACCTCATGGTTATTACAAAATTCTGTCAAGTTTCTTAGTACATGGTCCGAGAAAACTGACTTGAGATTTTTTTCCAAAAAATCCAAAATAATTAAATTAACTAGGAGATATAATAGCGCATTATTACCCAAAATAACACTAAACGGAGTAAATCTACAGTTAATTGATCATGAATATGAAAGTGTACTACTCAAAATATATCGAGTTATAATCTGATCCAAATTAGACTATCGTTTTATAGTTTACTTGTCCGCATCCAATAATTTATTACAATCGTTAAACTCTATTCACAAGACCGGATATGCTTAGGAGCATTTCGGTCCAGTCCTGCCAAAAGTCTCTATTTTAAATCCCATGAACTTCGTCTTTACCTTTGGATGCAGCAACTACTCATATCTTATGCTAGCAGAATTTCATCGAATCCGACTAACTCTTTATTTAATCTTCTGGCTTCGCCAAGACCTGTACTCGTAAACTCGCCCATATATATTAATATTAATCCCACAGATGTTAAAACCCGTGTGATAAGACAGAAAATGATCTCAAAGACTTGCATCTATAAAATAAGAATCCCCGCTATGGTCTAGAACAGTTTCTGGTATAAACACTTCCCTCTGTAAATTTAATAAGCAACAAACAATGATATCATTTTTCGACAAGCGTTCAAGGATATTGTGAATACATCCCAGTATGATAAGATACTTTATATCGATGCATCCCAAAACGCAGATGAAGTTGGCTGTTCTATCACTACTGCTGATACAGTATTACGATGATACCGAATATCCAACGAATGTAGCGTGTTTTCAGGAGAACTTTTCAGTATTTCAAAACCTCCCTAGTCCCCTTTTGACAATCATCAAAGTGCAGCTCTCTGCACCGATTCCTTATCCACAAATCGTTCGTTAGAAAATATTTTTAATCAACCTAGTGCAAAAAATACTAGAATCGATCCATCTCCACACGTTTGGAGGGACTTCAATAACACTAATATGGGTGCCTTCTCATATCGGCTTTGAAGGAAATGAGATGGCTGATAGCGCTGCAAAAGAAGCATCTACATCCAACAACTTACCCATCTACAACAACTTCAAGAAGATAAAAAATTCAAAAGGCATATCCAAGGCAAGTGGCAGGAACTTTCGATCACCAAAGACACAAAGCTCAGAGAAATACAACCTAATGTTAACAGCTGTTTATCCCTAGCATCCTTAAACAGAAAAAAGAAGATAGCAATAAGAATATTGAGGATAGGACACACACGGTCATCTTATGTCCTCTACATACCAACAGTTATGCTCCCACTGCAACGATATTCCTACTACTGTCAAGCACACCTTTACATAATGTCAATAATGCCAGGCCACTTACATTGCCAACAATATAAGCCAAAATCTAAAAGAACTTCTGAACTGTTCAAGCCGACTCAAAAGCCTAATAGATTTCTTAAAGACTACAAAATTGTTTAAAAATAGTATTAGTTGTTTACTATTGTAAACTCTGTATCGTAACTCTGTAGTTACTATTCTAAACCATTGCTCCCGTGTCAATGACCAAAGATGTCGAGACACGGTAATTTGAAATAAAAAAAAATGAATAGAGGAATGTTATGCTATTATGCTTTTGAGTAATAGAAAAACAAATAAAAAATTTTGGTCCAGTGAGTAATCAATTTGAAATTAAATACATTTTTTTTTGAGTCGAAAGAAAATGCAAAAAAGTATTTTTGAAGTGTGTATATTTTAGGCAATTCCTAGCTGAGCGCTTTCGGCTTTACAAAGCCATCATCAGAGCTATGGTCAATTTTTAAATACCACTACAAAGGAGAGATCTCATTTCCTTAAGTTTCACAATTATGATTTTGTAGGAGTTGGAATTTTTTAAAACATATAAAAAACATATAAAAGGTCGACACTGGACGTCACAAACACGTTAAAAAATTGAAAAATTTTTTTTTGTCATGGTACGGGTTTAAGACCCGACCATCTATTGATGTGAGGATGTAGACTGAATAGGATGAGGATGTAGCTATTCAGTCTACATCCTCACATCAATAGATGGTCGGGTCTTAAACCCGTACCATGACAAAAAAAAAATTTTCAATTTTTTAACGTGTTTGTGACGTCCAGTGTCGACCTTTTATATGTTTTTTATATGTTTTAAAAAATTCCAACTCCTACAAAATCATAATTGTGAAACTTAAGGAAATGAGATCTCTCCTTTGTAGTGGTATTTAAAAATTGACCATAGCTCTGATGATGGCTTTGTAAAGCCGAAAGCGCTCAGCTAGGAATTGCCTAAAATATACACACTTCAAAAATACTTTTTTGCATTTTCTTTCGACTTGTCATAAGTGTGTACAAAAAATATCAGTCTTTTGATTGAACATTTTTTTTTGTTTTACAGGATACAAAGCTCACAGACATAACAACACAGCAATGGGAAATCGAATTCCTCAAGAAATCCTCTCAGTGCGATATGAAGACGGGAAATGGTCTAAGCCGTATTACGACTGTGGTGGGGGCAACATCTGGATGTTAACGTACACCGTACCCTTCTTTGGATATGTCAACAGCACCTACATATTCAAGTAAGTGAAACGCGTCATAAGATATACAATATTAAAAATTAATGTGTTGCCTAAGATTTTTTTTCGGAGCCGCTTGTTATAGCGGATCTTACTCCAGCCAATTGGTTTATTATACATAATCCATTCGTATAACATAAAGATGTTTGGCCCACGCTGTAAAAAAACGTGCATTAATTATTGAATTTTTTATAAAGGATAATGTCCGAAGTGACCTCCAAGTGTGTGCAACTCCAAAATGTTGGCTATAATTTTTGTGGCACTTTTAAGGTGCAAAAATCGTGTTTTATGATTATTTTTATTTTTATTATATTAAATCAACATTTTAAGATAAAATAAATCTAATATTACGAAAGTATATATAAAAAGCAATAAGAGCTACGTTACAGTAAATTTGATCCAATAGTGTCATTTTTTGACATTTTATATTTTTGGAATAACTTCTGTACAGTTTTTTTTTAGCAAAAAAGCATTATATTTTAGCTCATTTAATTATAAATCGAATGAAACTTCATAAGATTTGATCGATTAATTCCTTTTCGAGACACGTTTAATTATTTATAATAATTCTTAAATAATTTTGCAAATGCAAAATAAATTTTGCAGATTTAGAACTTAAAAAAAAGATATAATTCCAAACGAATTATCTTCTTCTTGGTCGATTAAATTGTTGTGTAGAAATAAAAATATTTGATAAAAAATGTTTCTACCAATTATTTATTGCTGTAAAACAGGAACGAGTTATATAAAAAAATATTGTGCCTATTTGCCAAAACTTGATATGTCAAATAGAATAAGTTAGAGCGAAATTAAAAGTTTATAACTTCATGGTAATTTGTTTTTATTTTTTACTCGCTTAAATTTTCTTAGATTTGATAAAATTTCGTATAGTAATAAACAAAATGCTGCTTTTACTGATAATGTACATTAATTTTAAAAAATCTATCATGGAAAGAGATTTTACTAGAGAAGTATATAAAATACGTGAATGTTAAAATTACAAAATAAAAAATGAAGAAATTTATACTGAACTTAAAACTTTGATATTTAATAAAGATGGTTAGTTTATTCAATTCATAAATAATTTAATAAGCCATTTTATGTAATATCGAAATTTAAACTGCAGTATAAATCTATTTGAAATAAGTAATACCAATCAGCAAAATTATTTTTATTTACTGTTATCAATCTGCATAAAAAAGCAGTGTTTATCATTTAAAAATAAAACCTTAAATTCCATCATTTACATTCTTACTAGTCCTGAGTTTGTGGTAAAATGGATGGTACACTGGATCAAGGTATTCCAGCAGAAAAAACAAATCTTCCTTTTTTGATGTTTAATGGGTTTAGGTCCACTATAAACAGGTTTTAATGTAGGATCCATCTGCTGTCTTCTGCGCTTAATATTAAGCTTAGAAACGTCAAGCCCTTCTGTGAATATTTAATGTGTATAACACCCAACTCTTTACCCACACGTAGAACTTTCAGATCATGTCATTTCACATTTTCATTATCCACACCATTACGCTTTACATAGATATTTTGGAAAAGTTTATATATATATATATATATATATATATATATCCGTACCTCGGACGTAAAGGACACTATGTCCATTTTCTTACTTTTTCAGGAGAGCAGTTTTAACATTTTTTAAATTTTTAATCAGGAAATACTCAAATGTTTCTTATATTTACCCAAGATTAATATATTATTATTGTGGTGCTTATAATCGTTTTTCCTTCCATGAAGTGTTATGTACGTAAAGTTTACCGTTCATTTTATATTTTTTTTTTTAATGTGTAGTTGGACATAGTGTTGTTTACCTCTAATAACTTTTTTAAATAATGTGACATTGCATGTTAAGGTCTCTGCGAAATAAACAATACAAATACACTAAACAGCCTATACTATTCTTTTATTAGAGGTAAATATTATAATGTTATTATAATGTTAATATATTATAATTAAATTAAGAAAAGTTAAATAAAGTAAAATTATAGACGACAAGTTTCAAAATTGTTAAAGAGGCTCCATATCATCTTCATCTTCTTGTGGGTAATCGTTTGTGGCTACATCGCTATGTGTTAAATTTTGTTAAAGTGCATGACAAACTGACGGAAAAAGGCAGTAAGGTAATGAAGTCATTAAACTTTTGTTTTCTGATTGGTAATGGGTTTACTGAGACTTGATTTAATTGAGCTGGAAAAGTTACTTGCTGTCTTCGATACCTCATGAAGTTCACTTCATACATATTTTGATTATTGAAATCGGTCTTAGAAAAGAGCTTCCCAATGTGTTCTTGTTGGGCTTGTAGGAGTGAACACATGTTGACAGTAGAACAGGATCTTCATTAACATTCTTTTTTCTACTTACAAAAGGATGATTAAGTGACAATTTCTTATCGAACAGCGTTTTGAAGTTTTTAAAATCTGCAAGTTCCATATTGTGCACTGTGTATTTACCTGATGTTTGCCTAACTAGATGTTGCCAGTTCCATGGTGTTAAAATGGCCAAATTGGAGAGTTTCTTTTTGTTTCTCTTGATTAAAGCAAAACACTTTCTGCTTCCATATGTGTGAGCCCTTTCAGTAAAAACTTTTGAGTGATCGTCTTTATTTGAGGGTATGTACGCAGTATCCAAAAATAGCACATTATAACACTTATATTTTTATTTTGTCCATAGCAGTTATCGGTCCAAAAAGTGATGTCCTTTACTTGACTACCTGGAATTGTATTGTCAGTCCATTTCAAAATTCACGAGGCAATTTCATTTGCACCTCGGAACCCTTTCGATTCGTCCCACATCATACATTGTACAGAAGAATCACTGCTTCTACAAAAGCTTCCTTTGTAGAAACTAATACAATTGTTTGTTAGTGGTGAAAGCAAACATTTTTACAAATCCCAAGATAATACTTTGTGTTTTGGTGACTCTTTAGCAATTAAAAAGTCCAATTGTTGTAAGTTATACCGAGTTTTAAATTCAATTAGGTGAGTATCATGCTTAGCCTGTACACTGGTTAGCTCATCTGCAGTAAGATTATTTTTCAATTGAGCTGTGAATGTACTGCATGTATCGCAAGTGTCTATTTCGGGTTTCCAAGTTTTCAAACGAAAACTTGGAAATCTTTATTAAAAATATCTGCGTCGCATTACTTTTTACTCTGAGCTTTGGATCTACATGTCTTTCATTGCATTCATCAAAGTACAGTTGGTACAACTTTTCTATCGTAAGTTCTGTGCCAAGATAATCTTTCTTACTCCTTTCTCTGGAATAATCAATCTCGCACTTTGGGAATGATTTAAGATGTTGATGTATACTATTTATGGTTTCGGTAAGAGTTTTATTGATTAGCGTGTGTCTACCTCTTTAATCAGCTTTTATTAAACCTGCTGGCTCAATTTTTTTTAACATATTTACTACTACTAAATTAGATATACAAAGTGTGTTTGAAAAAATAACTTTGCACACCCTCAATCGCTGATTGTTCACTGTAAAATGGTAGTGTAGTGTATTATTTTTAGATTTGGTAGAATTTAGGTCTTTTTTTGTTAATCAAAGAGTAGGTTGGATGTCGAAACATGAGAAGATAAATTGCTTTTTAACATCTGAAACGTTTGTCTGAGTCCAGTATGAGTTGAAAATTTTTTGTCTTTCGTATTCTGGCAATCTTTTAGAGCATTTAATGCGACACATGCAAGGAAGCTTTAACATTTTTGCAGGCATGTTTTTGCCTTTTTTACTTAGCTACTCTTTCCCACCAGCTATTTTTGATTTGGAAACATTACATACCCAATTTTGTTCATTTACTACACGTTTTTTGCCTTTTTGTTTGCACTTAGTTACATTTTGTACCTTTCTTTTAATACTTTTCCCTTCTTCTAAAATAACTTCATTAGGTTCATTGGAATTGCCTGCATCACTGCTTAGGAAATAAATCGTCCTTAAGAAGATTTTTTTGTTATTGCCACACTAGTCGTAGGAGTAATAATAGCTTTCTGCTCTAGCTGCTAGCTCTTTTACCTTTGTTTTCGCTGGTTTACTTATACGTCTCATATGATTGTCGTCTGATTCTGAGCTTAGAGGCTCATAGGTTATATCAATATCCGAATTATCATCTCCAATCAAATTATCATCTTCGTCCACTTCTTTACCATTACCTTGGAAGTTACTGTAGTGACCAGGTGGTTCTGAAACAAATTCAGCCTTGTTATAATAATTATAGATTAATTTTATAGGCCTATAATTGGCCAACACAAAAATAATCCTTATAACCAAAGACCGGAATTTACTGAGCAATTTCCGTTACTTCCATTAAAAAAATATAGATCTGGCAACATCTGTTTACCCTAATCTGTTGTTATCAACAACAACAATAATTTTTGGGGTATCGGTTACGCCTAACAGTAAATAAATTTTACCCAATCTCTTGTAGTATTTTGTTCATACGAGTATATTATATTGATAATTGCTTGGTAAATTCCTGTCTATGCCTACAACACAATAACATAAATGGCAATGCATGTTACATAAATAACTGACAACAATCATACCATATTATGGTCATTTAAAAAAACAGACGAAATTCTTTACTAGTAACAAGAACATACTAACTGATACTTCTATTTTAACGGTAGATAGAAAAAATGTATGTTCTGTACAGTTTGAAATTCTGAGCTCTATACAAAATAATATACAATACTAAATATTTGAGGTTAGAAAAATACAAAATCAGTGTTAAAAAACAATAGCTTACCTGTAAGTGTTGTTTTATTTGGAATATTACATGACAGTAATTGTAATATTATTTTTCCACGAGACTTCGGATCCATTTTACAATTATTAAACAACGAATTTATTGTACAACTTTTATCAACCTAATACAATTGCGATCTAAATAAAAAGGTTGCAATGATTTTAGTTCATGACGATTCCCTCAGGTACAAGGGTACTTAACACTATGTCCGGATGGTAAATGACAATGCACACATTTCCTAGAG